ATTTGTCGGATCCATATAGTAGATCTCTATATTTTATTTAATAAAGGTGTTTAAAAGTTATCAATATTTGATAAATTAATTGATGTTATATTTGATCCTTAAACCTAAAAATTTTGAATTTGTTTTATATTTATAAAAATATTGTTTTTTAATATTATTTTTATTACTTAAAAATTTAAAAATAAAATTATTTAAAAAATTATATACACCAAACAAAGCAATATTTTTATTATTGTTATGAATAATAATTAGTGGCTTAATTAGTGGATGCCAATATTCATTATCAATCATTACCATTTATATGTCCGTTATGTATTATTCTCTTTATTGTATAATTGTTCAGTTACCACATGTACTTATAAATAGGTTACTCCTCTTCCAAAGAGAGTACACCAGTCAGATTCTTTTCTCCATCTCATATTATCTTATATGTTCTCTCTATTTTTCTTTTTTTTATAACACGTTATCAGCACGATAGTCTTTTACCTATTGGTGTTACAACTACAAGAGAAAGCTGTGAAGAATTTTCTTCAAGAAGATCATATTTATCAAGCAAATATTTTAAGAATAGATATTGACCATAGCATTAATATTGAAGATATGTGTCTCGCTGATAGTGCAACGACTCACACAATTCTCAAGAATAATAAATTCTTTTCAAATTTAGAGATGCAAGAAATCAAAGTTAGTACCATATCTGGTACTACAAATATAATTGAAGGCTCCGGAAGAGCTAATATATTGTTACCGGGAGGAACGAAGTTGCATATTAAAAATGCATTATATTCTTCTAAGTCTTATAGAAACTTATTAATTTTCAAGGATATTCGTTTAAATGGGTTTCATATTGAAACAAACAATGAAGGAAATGTAGAATATCTTTATATCACGAAACTCCACTTGAATAAAAAGGAAGTATTGGAAAAATTATTTGCTTTTTCCTATAGACTGTATTGCATGTATATTAATACAGTTGAAACACATGCTATTGTAAACCAGAAGTTTACAAATCAAAATAAATTTGAGGTTTGGCATGACCGGTTGGGTCATCCTAAGACTATTATGATGTGAAAAATAATTGAAAATTCATGTGTGGACATTTATTGAAGAACTAGGAGATTCTTCAATTAAATATTTTCTCATGTACTACCTGTTCTCAAAGGAAGTTAATAATCAGATCATCGCTAGCAAAAATTGGGGATGAATCTATCTTATGTTTAGAACGGATACAAGGTGATATTTGTGGACCAATACACCCCCATGTGGATCATTTAGATATTTTATGATTTTAATTGATGTATCAACAAGATGGTCACATGTTTGTTTATTATCAATTTGCAACCAGACATTTGCGAGATTATTAGCTCAACTAATTAGATTAAGAGCTCATTTTCCTGACTATCCAATTAAGAAAATTCGTTTGGATAATGCTGGTGAATTCACATCTCATTCTTTTAATGAGTTGATTTTACCAACATTTGGGGAAGAACACAAATAGCTAGAAAAAGATATTAGTTGGAATGAATTATCACTATCTCATTTTGATCCTCGTATAGAACAATGTGAACTAGAAGTTCAAAAGATAATTCATTTGCAAAATCTAGCCAACCAATTACCAAATGTATTCACAGATCCAAAAAAGGTGATTAAGTCATATTTACCAGCGGCTAATGCTCCAATAAGAGTCGAAGTCCCCGTTGGACAATCTAATACTACAAACGAGTCACAAATACGCCTGAAGCGTGGTATGCGCGAGGAAGAAGACGAAACTACACAATTATAAGTGCAGATGTGTCGTGTAATCGATTACATGTATATGGTAATCGATTACGCGTTTCCATATTTTTGCATTTTCGCTACTGGTAATCGATTACATTCCATGGTAATCGATTACACTTTACCCAGATAAGTGAAGCATGCTCTGGTAATCGATTACACAACTTTGTAATCGATTACATGTGTGCCAGAACAAGTAAATGCGCTCTGGAAGACGAAACTACACAATTATAAGTGCAGATGTGTCGTGTAATCGATTACATGTATATGGTAATCGATTACGCGTTTCCATATTTTTGCATTTTCGCTACTGGTAATCGATTACATTCCATGGTAATCGATTACACTTTACCCAGATAAGTGAAGCATGCTCTGGTAATCGATTACACAACTTTGTAATCGATTACATGTGTGCCAGAACAAGTAAATGCGCTCTGGTAATCGATTACTCGACTCTGTAATCGATTACAATTGTTCAAATTTTCAAAAAATTTATATATTCCCTCTAGTAATCGATTACCTGACCCTGTAATCGATTACAATTCTTAAAATTGTGTCTTTTTACTATAGAGTCAAAAAATAATGTGAGAAGAGTCTAGAATCCCCAATTCTTGTCTAATTGAAAAGAAGTTTTCTTTTGGTAAGGTCTTTATGAATATATCAGTTAATTGATTCTTTGTTTCGACAAATTCTAGAACACAATCTCCTTTTTGAACATGATCCCTAAGAAAATGATGTCTTATCTCAATATGCTTTGTTCTAGAATGAAGAACTGGATTTTTAGAGAGATTGATAGCACTAGTATTATCACACTTAATTGGAATATGATCTAATGATAAACCATAATCAGATAGTTGTTGTTTCATCCATAGTATTTGTGCACAACAGCTTCCAGCAGCAATATATTCTGCTTCAGCAGTAGATAAAGCAACACTATTTTGCTTTTTACTATGCCATGATACTAAAGCGGATCCAATAAAATGGCATGTTCCACTAATACTCTTTCTA